AGACATTCACATTTTTGCTGATATACTTTTCACCACCTAAATATATCTGAAAAATTGTGATCCCTCGGAATCATTCATCACAACAAAAACATATGAAAATTGCAGACAATTACAGAAAATTGTTTAAGTCTGTATATGAGGGAAGGGAAAAGAGTGTTAACACCCCCAAGCTCACTAGCACCGCCTTGAGCGATACATAATTTTAAAAGTGCACTTAAAATTTCTGAAATCAATGATCCCGAAGGTCCTGAAAAATATAACAACACTGAAGTGAAGTACGGGTCACTTTTTTTTTCAGCTGCCACACGGAACTTGACACCTGCTTGACACACTTGTTACATTACCTTGTTATAGACATTCAAATGTTTGCTGATTTACTCTTCACAACTTATAAGTTCTTCTCAAATGAAATCTTAACTTCTAACGTAAATCGCTTAATTAAAAGGCACATTAAGAACGAATTGTTCTAGTCCAAAAGTGGTGCAGAACTTACACCACACTGGCAGTTCGATTTTACAATCCGAGTACCTTTGATGTAAAACTCTCAAATGAATATTTTCTGTCGATGTATTAAAGCGGCCTTCAGTTTTCCTAAACGTGAATTTATTGTTATTTTTACATAAATAGTGTCATATAATTGTCAAATCAAAAAGAATTAAGGTGGAAAATGAAATTTGGCGACGATAAAATGCACACACAATAAGAAAACCCATCGATGTCTGTAATCTACCGGTCCGCCCCAATATGTTTTATACTTTTTTAATAGAAAAAACGAACGTCACTGACGCGTTCAAATAGCCCTCCGGACGCTGTTTTGGAGAAGGCTTAACAGTTATATGAGTCTTTTTTCCGAGATAAATTTGAAATTACTTGAAATATTTAGTTTGAAACAACATGAAATTGTTTTTTCCAACAGAAAATAAAAGCTGAAGGCCCCTTTAAGGACTTTGCTCAAACTTGAAAAGAAACGAGTGGATAAAAGTTATATCAAAGCTTAATCCTTGATAATTTTTTCTCATAGAAGCCACAAAACAAAAGCATCAAATATCAATAAGAAAATGAGAAACTTGTTTATTCCAAAAATATATTTTTAATGAACTGTTTCGACTTTGTCTGTTTGTTTGTTTCATTTTACGCCCTTTCCCAACAGTATTTCAGTCATATAGGCGGGTAGTTTCCTAACCATCGTTCCTGGAGAGTTACACCAGTACTAGTCTACCTTCCTCCGTGCTAAAGCTGCGGTCTCACTGACTCCCGGCAGAGCCCAGGACCATCACGGTAAGTTACCGGGATGATCCAGGGTGAGATTATTATTGCGGTCACACTTACCCCGGCAGCACTACGGTAGTTCCCAAGTAACCATCCAAGATGCGCTCCGGATCATCCAGGCAGAGCCCAGGTGAAGCTACAGTTCATGCCGGTGCTTCCCCGGTCGTTCCCGGATGACGCTGGAAGAGCCCCGGTTAACCCAGGCAGAGCCCCGGTCAATCCAGGCAGAGCCCCGGCAGAGCCAAGGACGATCCAGGCAGAGCCCCGGTAGAACCCCGGTGGATTGAAAACGCCCGAAAATGATAACATTGATACATGATTTTTATTTAAAAATGGGAAGGGTTTTAATACAAACAAGAGCAATAATCGCAAATTGCCGTTATTATTTTGAAATGATCCTGGCTTTGCCGGGGCTCTAACGGGATCAACCGTAGCTCTATCTTTATTCCAGGGACTCTGACTGTAGTTACCGGGGCTCTGCCGGCATATACCGGGGCTCTACCGTAGCTGTACCGTAGCTCTACCGGCTATATCATACCCCGGATCATCCCCGGTTCGTGCCGACAGAGCTGTTGTCCCCGGTCGTAACCCAGTCGTTCCCGGATCACCCCGGACGTCTACCGGGGCTCTGCCGGGATGTAAGTGAGACTGTAGCTTAAACTACCAAAATATCTCCCGGGGATCGGCTTTTAACAAACTGCAACACTTTATACCGCTCTCAGTACGCATTTCAGTGTTTTGACTGACTGACTGACTGACTGACTGGCTGGCTGGCTAGCTAGCTGACTGACTGACTGAGTGCATTTTTTATTGTTTCTCTGATGAAGACATCAGCGCAGATTCCACTGTTCTGGCATACTTCATATTAAAGTGTTTGCGATTTCTTGTAAGAATTATTTCAATTGAATCCTCTTCAACGATTTCTTTATAAAAATTTTTTCGATTGAACCCTATTCAATTCCATGTTCCAAAACGTTATTTTTAATAAAAAAACCCGCGTCACTGGAACGTTTTATTGATAATGTAATTAAATTTTCTACAGAAGTCGCAACAATATCAATATATGTACTCTTTTCACACACCATGTTAGAACGTACGTGAAGAAATAAACGTGGTGCTTTCCTTAAAACGTCACATTCTAAACAAACGGGAAACACTAGAAACTTGAGGTAGATATATAGTCGTCTTACTTCTAGACATCTGTGCTTAAATCTGCCATAGGAACAAATACGCACGCTCTCCTAAATGTTGTCATAAACGGTAAAATTTTGTTCAGGAATTGGCAAACATTTCAAAATAACAGGGAAAACCCGTTTTAGTTTATTTTTTGTTTCAACTCATCCCAACTTTGATTAATTGTCATCAATATTCACATTTAATTACATGTACCATGACAAATATCCTCTTTGTGTAATGTATTGCTCATGTCATAAATGATAAGGTCTTATGCGCATCCTGTTAATCGTTTATTGTTTGTTGTTTTGTTGATTTTTTTTTCAAGTCGAAGAATACGTATCTTCAAAGTACATGTATTTAAAAAGTCTTCAATATGTGGTTCTGTTAACTTATGCTAGCATGTCATTTTACATGCTTTCCCAGTAATATATGTTATTTTGTCGTGAAACTATGCACAATATGCATATTTTTTTTTAATTTATCATCATACAAGTTTAACAAGAAGTATCTTTTTAATACGATAATCGGCCGAAGTAAATATGTTTAATCGGACATAATTATGCTATTTCAAATATATATCCTAATTCTTAGGATGTGTGTATTTATGGCAATGCGTTTATGTATTAAAATTCAATTAATTTACATAAAAATGCATTAATGGCTCATGTACAATGTATGTTGTTGTTTTTTTGCATGTATGTACATGTATATGTGTGTATGTATGTTTATATGTATATATAATAGACATATAAGTTAGTGGTTCAAAGATCAATTTTGATATTATTTAACTACTTAAGAAAAGTTTCGCTGGTATTTACTTTATCAATCAAAATTGATCTTCTCATTTTTTCATGATTGTTGATATTATGTTTACATGTTTATGTCATACACAGTTCGTTTTGTGCATGATTTAAGCCCGCATGAGCTTTAAAGCCTATTGGAATAAAATAAAATGTCTACTGTCTATAATGATGATTTTTTTTTTCAAAGAAAAACAACTTCTATTTAAGGTGTCCCATTTACTTGTTTAACGTTTGACTTTATAAATTTTGTGATCATTTACAAATAAACTAAAAATGAAAAAAGAAAACTTTCCTTATTCCTGTACAATTTATTTTGGAACTATCATCTACATTTTATTTTATAGTGGTAAACCTATCCCTTACATTTTATCATAGAGCTATCCTTAAAATTTCATTTTAGAATGCTTTTCATTTTATTTAAGACTTCACCGATTTCTGTTTGTAATTTTAAAATGACCGATGAAAATCGTTTTTTATATTCAGTCATTCCCTGTTTATTTTACAGGAAGTCAAACTGATAACAGACGGACTGAAAAAATATATATCCAGCGAAACAATCGCAACAACTCGGCCCTTTCCGTCAGACTTAATATCATAGATAATAGCCGAGGCAGTTCCGAATGCCAGCGAAAGCATTATTTTTGACAGGGTATGATTTTATTTAAGACTTCACCGATTTCTGTTTCTAATTTAAAAATGACCGATGAAAATCCTTTTTTATATTCAGTCATTCCCTGTTTATTTTACAGGAAGTCAAACTGATAACAGACGGACTAAAAATATATATATCCAGCGAAAGCATTATTTTTGACAGGGAATGCAAATGACGCTATTGCAAATGGCGATGTACTATCGGCAGTATCAAAGGGGGGTAACTGCTTTTATCAATCACGCAAGATTACGCTAGATTACATTTATAGTACATGTATTGGCAGCTGTGGTCAAAACAACAAGAACCATGTTAATTTTTGCGCTGATCTTTAAATCCGATATATTAAGTGTTAACATCTTTGACCTAACTTCTTTTACTTCGTGAAACCTTTTGAATTTGAGATCGTAATTTGGATAATTTTTATGTGATTGAAAAAGTATAACTCAGATTGGATTGCATGCTTTATTGGCGTCCGTGCCGAGGCGCGACGCCCTTATGGAATGAAATCAGATTTTGTGAAAGGGCGACAGCAACTTCTCGGGCTTTTTCGTCGGTGATAGTTATATATTATATAAGAATTACGGTGCGAAAAAAACATTTCTGTATTTTCTTGTTAACATGATATTATAGTTTAATAAATGTATTGATTGTATCTCAAAGTAACATGCATGTTGCAGTTTCTTCCTTGAAATGAAATCATCATCATCATCATCATTACATCATCATCATCATAATCATCACCAAAAGCAACAACAACAACAATATCAGCATTTATTTTATTCATGTCATGCACATATATGCAGTAACGACATTTGGTTGCAAACAGGCAAAAAATATTATGTTCCAAGTACAAATTGCAACTAAAAAACGTTCATTAACTTAAAATCCTATTCAAATCAAGGATGGTTTTATTTTAAAAAAATATTTCAGCCACAGACCAATACTTAAACCGGTCCGGCCACAACGCCCTATATGTCATATGACAATTATTTCAGAAAGCGTCTTTCGAAATCACTATTTAAATAATTTGCCAACATTGACCTTGGTTCTACTCCAATGATCACGAAGAGTACAGAAATCCAATATATACCCCATTCATTCAGAATACCTTGGAGCATTGATAGACACTCGGTTCATCATACAGTATATACACGTTAACGTGTTAAAAATACTTTTTTCGCGAAAATGACGTTTAACGGATATAAAACCTAGCCCGTTAAATATTCAACTACATATTTTGAAATTTTACCATTCATCAACGAATGCTGGATTAAGTTAGATCGCAAATAAAGTATAAACATTTCGTGCGTGAGTGAATTTTAAGTGTTATTAAAAGTGTTGTGCAAAATATATTAGGATTATTATATATATTTTACTATTTTCTTGTGATCGGATATATAAAATCCTCTACAAACTTCATATAAGAGTAAGTACATATGGGTTAACAATTTTAGAAGAGGCAACAGTATACAATGTATACGTTAGAAATAAACAAACTATATACGCTTCGCTAACTTGCTCTTACGAAATGTGTTAAAATCTAGCTCAAGACATAGAATTTATATTGATATGTGTCCTGACTTTCTATTTAACAGATATTTTTATATATCTCTTAATATTATATTATAATGCAAGAAACATTGATATGTCCAGATGTTACAATTTGATTTGATATCGACAAGATAATGACATTTTTTTCTCTCATTGTAAGATAGTATCTATTGATAACGTTTGGTGGATTTTAATATTTCACTTTTATAATGCGGTAAAACATAATAAAATTTTAATGGTCGTCGATGAAACAACACACACAAAATGTGCATTTTGCAAAACTGCAAATCTCAATTCTTCAAATGTAACAAACGATGTCCTAAGTAAATATTCAATAGAAATGTTTCAAATAGTATGCAATAAAACAGCAAAAGAAACTGAAATTTCCATGGTGATTTAGCAAGTATGTACGAGATATTGAAAGCCAGCGTTCTTTTCCTTAGGGAACATCCTTTCTTGGCTATTACCAAGTTATTAACTATTGGCCTGTATATGCTACCCGCAATCTTGTTCAATTACACCAAGGTCAAATCGTTCCTGGAAATAATTTGCTTGTATCAGATTTTATGATTATCATTATTATTGACCGGGATTCATGCTGGTCAAGGTTATCAGTAGAAATGCCTATCAGTTACCTAGGTAATATGTAATGCACATGGTGCACAAACTCACAATTTTGTTTAATATTTATTTTTTTCAACACGCATTACTGATCATTTTAGTTATATTTTGAATTTATAAGCGTTATGTTGTTTAGTCGAAATTTATCGTATGCTTCGAGACGGTTGTTATCTTCTGGCATCACACAAATATACTCTCTAGCTGATCTATTTAATCTCTGATCTTTTTATAAAAAGAAAGAATATGTCAGAACCTACCAGAGCAACAGACATTCATGTAAATATAGATCAACACATTGTTTCTCTACACACCAACAATTTCGACTTACAAAATTACTCAACAGAAACTAATAAATTTTTTGCAAATTACGTTTCAATTTGAAGTTAAATTACCAGATCTTAAAAGTTACATTTTGCTATTTTAAATAAAGAACTATTAAAACTTTGACAACATTTATCACAGAGTAACCATCTGATAAATAGTATGTTCTATTATTGACGAGAATTATGTCTGAAAAGCGGGTAATTCAATTTGAAACAGATTCAGTTTCAACTTTATTTATTCATATATGTAAATGTATAATGTAATTACACATTATATAATTACAGAGGTCGACATGTACTATTAAAACAGCGTTATATGTAAAGCTAACTTTCTTGTCGATTTTTATCAAATAATAACCAAATATGTATACACTGGGGTTTATTCCTTCAGACGGTCAATATATATCCAGGGGTGATTTCTTGCAGATGGTCATCACTTGATAAAAATCTAGACAGTATTTCAACTTTATAAACAACACCTATTGACAAATGAACTTAATACAAAGTACCTGTGAATAATTCGGGATTCTTACATATATGAAAGTTAAATATTATATTAAGAATAATTATGAGAGAAGAAGAAGAAGAAGAAGAGGAAGAAGATGATGATGATGTTGGGTTAGCGACCAGAATGGATCCAGACCAGGCTGCGCATCCGCGCAGTCTGATCAGGATCCATGCTGTTCGCTTACAAATCATATAACAAGTAGAGAAACTGATAGCAAACAGCATGGATCCTGATCAGACTGCGCGAATGCGCAGGCTGGTCTGGATACATGCTGGTCGCAAACCCACTATGATGGTTTTGTCGTGACGCAGCTCGTTCCTTTTTACAAAATGCTAAAAACTAGGCATGAATTAGTGGTCGTGTGACTTTGGGCGTGGATTTGTCTGTTGGAGTCTCAATTTCTGCTTTAGATAATAATGATATAATATAATAGTGGTGGTGTTGGTGATGATGATGATGATGATGATGATGATGATGATGATGTTAAAGATGACGCTGACGATGATATTAGAAATGACGATAAAGACGATGATGATAACGATGATGAATCATGATGATGCAAATTTCGACATATCATCCTTGTTCAGAAAGAAACATGGTATATGTAAAGCTGAATAAAGAAACAAAAATAATCAATCAGAAAATATCTCACATTTTTAATGATATGTATTCACCTTTTACAGCGAACTTTTGAAGGACTTAATGCTGTCCCAGTTTTTAACATACATTGCTTAATATTGAATATAAATATTATTTGGCATAGTAAAATGAAAATCGATAAACTTTGAATATATCGAATTTGAATATATTCGAATAAATTATGTAAATTATACAAACTGGCATTGTCTGAAAATACGTATTTTTTTCTTTTTTGGAATTGTTTGATGTGGCCCTGAATAAAAATCAAAACTTTAAAGCTCTCGACATTTTGGTGTCAAAAATATGACTGAGTATTTTCGGGCAGAAAAAAGTGACACAAGACATGGTGATATATCAGACATTTTTTTCTTCTTTTTGCACGGCTCAGAATTTTAGAACTTAAGGATTTTCATTTTATTTAAACTATAACATAATTTATAACCAGTATATCATAATTTATACACACGTACACAGTGTTTATGTATGGAATTGATAATTTCTCGATACAGAAGTCAATTTTATCTGAATTTGTCGCTACATGTGGCTCTTATTTTTATACAAAAGCCCCCACCCCCAAATTGAGGCAATCCCAATATATGGGAATCGGAATTAAATCATTTTTCTGTTATTTCACAATAAAAACAAAAATGACACATTCCTAATGCTTCCAGGGACTGAAGAAGTTTTAAAAGTTGAGTACTTGCGTGTAAGGAACTATATGTTTGAACTTTTGAGTGATCCAGAAGTACTTGAAAGACAAGTTGTCCACATAACCTTTGTTTGAAATGACGGTATCAATATTTTTAAAATGGTCTTCTCTGTATAGTTATTGTAAGATGATTATGAATTGTTGTGAAATAATCAATTTAAAATGTTCAGTGTTTTCTATTTTTTTTTCTGTGACCATTAGTTAATGCCATGATTTTCAAGAATACTAGAACAAGAAGAATGTCAATATGTCGATTTTAAACGGACAGAAATGACAACAATTACCCATAGAGTATGCCCTTTGATTGCTACAGCTAAAATTATTATTTTATTTAATAAAATAACGCTTTTCATGAGGTGATTCTATACTTACTGTATAATGGCAAATGCAATTTATTAATGGCGTTTTATTAGACTGGACAAAGAGTTGTAAGCACTTCTGGTTTATTGTCATAACAATATACAAATATACATATATTCCTGTACAAATATTGATTGAGAATTTATACGTCGCAAATATGCGATGTTTATAATATTGTATATATATTATATACATTTTTTCCATATTATGTTTTTGATGTATACATTAATTACATTTACAGGTGCAATTTGTTTTATATGAATATCATATTTTCAGAAAACCCGTAAATATACATTCCCATGTACCACGTGCTACTTTTATTTCAAGCCCGTATATGCGATGCGTTCCATTTTGTTAAAGAATTAAAAAACACGTAATAACACATTTAACCGATATTTTCTTTTATTTCAGAATTGAACATACAATTACTGTGAAGATGGGGGCCTTAAGGCAACTTGGCGCCCTCTTCTGGAAGAATTTCCTCATTAGAAAACGCCACCCGGTGAGTTTTATTTCATTATATTATGTGATATTTAAAAAGAGATCTACCAAGCAAAAAGTCTGTTTCTGTACATGGAAATATGTGCCTTTCAAAAAAATCCCTTACTGTTAAATGCACCTTCGGTTAGTAACTACATGTATTTAAATATTGCTTCTCCGAAAAATAAAACCTGTTTTCTTTAACATTAAATTATGTTGACTCGTGGACGTGCTATAAGCGGAATAGTTTGTTGTTTTTTACACATCAACTATACTGTAAAAAGATATAGATTTTGTAGATAAATACAATCGTTCCAAATATGGACATATTAAACTATAGTTTTCCCCAATAGAAATATTGTAAAGAATCTAGTCACGGTTAGGCAGCTGTGTCAACTCGTACCATGTCCTGTGTAAAAAATTCGTTTAAGGTCATTCACCTCTTAAGAAGAACAGTCGTATTCAATTCAATTCAAGTCGTAATATCTCGGTTTTTCCGTAGACGTTTGGTGTAAATAATTAATAAAGGCGAGCATCTTGACCTCCACTGAACAATATTGATTTTAAAATATGTGACCTCCCCGTATATAAAACATAAAGATCAATACAGTAGTTAAATGTATCTTGTCTTAAAACAAAGAATTCAATGCTACCGTCTTTAAAAGAAAAAAATGATGCCGTATTGCTGATTAAAATTATTTATAATTTAATACAAAAAAGAAAAGAAAGAAAGAAGAATTAAAGACAAAAAACTGTTTCCTAGCAATCATAATTTTCCCTGTTTTCAAAAAAATCTTTTGCGTTATAAGTACGAGTTACCTATTTATCATTAAACCCCAAATTACAAATTACGAACGCGTACATTTTGACTTTCATGAAAAATGGAGAATTATCCTTTGAATTGTTTTTAACTTGACATATCCAAGCGCTATTATACAACAGAGTACTTATTTCAGACATTTCTGGTGTTAGAAGTTTTATGGCCTGTGGTGCTCTTTGTTGCTCTGGCATTAATGCGTCTGGGGTTCCCGCCTGATCACCGAGAAACATGTAAGTATCAATAGCTTTTGCGATTTGAAAAAAGTATTTTCGCCGTTTATCGTACAAAAAAAAAAGACAACAAAAACCATAGTAAATAGATTACCCTCAAGATCGAAGTGTTTATTATAAAAGATACTTTGGTGGGTCACTCACTACTTTAGCAACAGGGTATTGTTTTACATAGTTATTTACCCATTTTGAAGTGTATATTGATTTGCTTGTTGTTGCTATATAAAATCGTTCAATAGAAACCAGATGATTATAAGATGGGACGTGTTTGTATGTCCTTGAAAAGTTTTGATATCTTAGTCATGTGTGTTGTCAATCGATTTAAATCACATCCAAATTAACGTTACGCATTGCAAGGAATAATTAAAGTAAATCTGAACTTAAATCAGATTGGTTCTACGCATTGCAAGAAATAAAGTAGATCTAAACTTTTGTCAGATTGGTTAGTTGTAGGCCTAAATTCTTTAAATAACTTTAATAAGGATTGTACATACTAAAAGTAGTTTGTTATTTCCTTTCCCGAAGCCAAACACTGCACGTTAGGCATATGAGCCGCGTCACGACAAAACTAACATAGTGCGTTTGCGACCAGCATAGATCCAGACCAACCTGAGCATCCGCGCAGTCTGATCAGGATCCATGCTGTTCGCTTACAAACTCTATAACAAGAAGAGAAACTGATAGAGAACAGCATGAATCCTGATCAGACTGCGCGGATGCGCAGGCTGGTCTGGATCCATGCTGGTCGCAAACCCATTATGTTGGTTTTCTCATGACGCGGCTCATATATTTTAGCTTAGTTCTACCATAGTAGCATGAGCTCACCATATAATTATACAGATATTTTTTTTTTAAATAAGAACAGAAAAGAAATATTGAACTGTTGGTTTGTTTGGCAAAGCATAGGCTTACTCATCAAATAATTCGACTGATAGTTCTTGGCATTATAAGCCATTTTCCGCATTTCCAATTCCTATATTAAGTTCTGGTGTGCTCCCTACAGCAGGATGTGTCACTGGGACACTGTAATCAACTGAACCTGCAATTTTCGCTTATGTTGCCAGCTTTTCCAAAGTCTCACGTGAGCTGTTATGAGAAATATTGTCATTCTATAAATGACACTTTATGTATTTCCTTGTTTTTTAATTAAACAAATCAACACTTGGTATAGATATCAAGTATAGCATGTTTTGTGACATACTGTCAATAACTTTATTAATTCTGGATAAAACGAACTCCAATAAAACCATTCGCAAAGTGCATTACAGTCATTTAAAAGATGTTTTGTATGCTGAACATAGCCATATAGCAGACACAGTTACCTCATGATAGCCGACATTGTTAGCTTATATAGATGACTCTCTTGACCCATATAACTGTGACATAACCCATGCATATAACCGGCACAGTAACCACATATGACTGACAATTATAGTCCATATAACCAGCAATGTTAGCCGAAACATACTTTTACCCCAAATAGTCGACAATGATAGCCCATATAGTTGACACTGTTAGCTGATATAGTCGACAATGTTAGCCCATATAGTCGACAATGTTAGCCCATATAGTCGACACTGTTAGCCCATATAGTCGACACTGTTAGCCCATATAGTCGACAGTGTTAGCTCATTTAGACGATACTGTTGCACAATACAGCCATTTTCCCCTTCTTATAAAGCATGTTTTAGATAGCGCAAAATAGTAATTCACTAGTACTATTAAACTGTGAAAATGTTCGACAATAAAAAAACGAGATTTGATGGTCTAAAACTGAACTTCGGGGTATTAGTAACCTTTAACAATTTTGAATTGAAATATTCGTATGATAAATTAACTGATGAAAGAAATGTATTTGTCCGTGCATGCAGTCGATAAAAGAAATGATCTTTATTTAAAAAAAACTTATTTTCTCTTATTTGTTTATCTTTGTATTACAGGTGAATATCAGGAGCGAGCTGTTCCAAGTGCAGGGCTGGTACCTTTTTTACAGTCTTCCATATGTACGTTAAATAATAACTGTTCTACACGAGCCTGGAACCAACAGAGAGCCGAGGCTCAGCAAAGGTATGAGTTTGATGGTTGCCAACCCAAATGAAACTTAAGAAATAAAGAACATCTAAACATTTCTAGTTTAATCAGTGTATTCAATATCCTTTATTATACGAATAGAAAAATTAAATTGAGTTGAGATTTTAAATCATATTATGCTTCATTCTGATTGGCTGGTTTTTAATATGTTTGGCAATCAGAAATGTACACATGCTATTTCAGTCGTTACGGTACATATACATGTATTTCAGGATTGTTAACTTTAAAAAATGAGGTCTTCACCCGTATTGAATTAAAACAAATATTGTAGATGTATGATTATAAAACTTCCAAAACACACAGACTTACACAAAAACTTCCATTCTCCTTTATTTGTTCTCTCAATAAACAGTAATACAAATACTTATAAAAGGTGGTCGAATATAACACTATCCAAACAATATCAAAATATATACCATAAAGGTGATTTTCTTTTCCTGGGTCATTCGTCGGCGGTCGTATTACCAATTCGCCGTTTATGTAAGAAAATACTGTCAATCTATTTACATCATTGTTAGCACTGGTCGAATGGGCAGAATCAGTTGTCGCTAAATTGAAACAAAATTATTTCAGTAATTTAATTTTAATTAATTGAAATATTCGCGACGTCATATTGTGGAATTGGTGATAAACCTTCTATTCCATGAACCCGTGTGGAAAAATTACCATTGGTGAATCGCACTTAAAGCTTAAAGTTACGAAATATGTTAAACAATAATTTTAATATGATAAAAAGCCGTCCCTATACTAGAACAACATATGAATATAGCCGCGTTAAACTAGTAATGTTTAAAATATATAAAAACAAGAATGTACTGGTTTTGATCCATTGAAAAGATCACTTATATAGCTGTTAATGATAGGATTTACTTTATTCAATATGAGAAATACTAACACTTTATTAACTAAAATTCAACACATTTTAGGAAGTATATTTTTTCTGTGGGCAATTATTGACAAAGCATTTATAGTTGTCCGCAGTTATTATGGGACGCATTGTTTCTCTTATTATCCGTATTGTACCTCTTAATACCTCTTTTATGCATTTATCACCTCTCGACTGCATCTTATTCTCTCTAATGTACCTCTTATTACCTCTCTTGCATCTCTTATTACCTCTCATTTACCACTTATTACCTCTCATGTACCTCTTAATTACCTCTCATGTACCTCTTCATTACCTCTCGTTACCTCTCATGTATCCCTTATTGTTCCGTGTATCACTTTCTACACCTCATCTACCTGTAATTGCCTCTTATATTCCATATGTAGCACTTACTACCCCTCGTGTACCTCTTATTACTTCTTGTGTGCCTCTTATTATCCCAAATATACCACTTATTACCCCTAGTGTACCTCTCATTACCTCTCATGTACCGCTTATTTTCCCAAATGCACTACTTACTACCCCGTGTGTACCTCTTATCACATCTCCTGTACCTCTTATTATCCCATATGTACCGCTTACTACCCCTAGTGTACCTTTTATTACCTCTCAACATATATTTGATGGTTATACAAGAGGAAAATGTTTTAATACATTTGTACCTTATTTTTCTGCATTGATATATCCACGATCTATGTCTGCACATGTCCAAAAAATGAGAGGGTGGGGTAACGACTACAAAATCTTTATGGCGTACGTTATTGCTGCTGATATTATTATTTTGACACTATATATGTGTATAATATTACTGTGTTGTCGATAACTTAGTATAATGTATAAGCATTGATAAAACAAATATAGTTGTAAGATAACAAAATTTTATCAATTTCAATATAAAAATCCATTATTTTGATAAAAAAAATACAAGAGAAAAATGTCGTCGCAATTTCAATGTTTTCCCAACGGAAAAATACGCCAGGGGTTAATTCAAATTTAAAAAAAATATATATATCTCCAGTGAAAAAAACAAGCTCAAGGTATCTAACTGCACATTAATAAGTTAAGAGAAGTTATTCAATTCAAAGTCATTCTTGCGTATTATACATTTGAAGCGACTTTATTTTTTGTAGGGGTGATGATGATGATGGTGATGATGATGATTAAAAGGTCCATTTGAAATAACATTCTTTACATTATGAAATATTGAAATTAGTATTTTTTTCACACGATCTTTATTGATCAAATATTTAACAAAAGGTAAAAGTCGGCAGCATTTTAATTCGATTTATCCGCTTAAATACATTCCACATTTTGATTTAATCAAAGAGTATTTTTATAAAATGCGTAGGTGTCAGTCTTCGTAAAAAGTAACGTTATTTTTAACGCATGGTTAAACTCTTTAGAAAAAAAGAAAGTTTAATTTTGTTATGTACTTTATTTTGACCTGTCGTTCGTAAAAGAAAACTTTCGGAAAATATTATCAATTTTAGCTGGTCAACAGTATTTTCTTTGAATATACTATGTCTTTCTTTAAAAGGAGATCAAGCAATAAGTTACGCCTGATCAATTTTTGATAGTTCACCACTTTTTCTTCATTATTTATCCAGTATTTGATAGTTTACCACTTTTTCTTCATTAAATACCCAGTATAATTAAAGGCCCATTTCGCCACAGAAACGCGTTTATTATTTAAAATATTTCTCGAAAATTTTATTTTTTATTTGTTGATGTCCTGTTTCCAAAAAGTTACATTGGCCATTTACCGGAATCATCTTTTGCTTCTGTTGCCTTTTTGTAATTAGTACACTTAAAGTGATTTAGTATTTTGTATGGAAATCAAAATACTTTTTTGCTTACATTTTGCTACTTTTGAGACAAATAATATTTTCACATTCAGCGTTATTTAATCGTTTAGCATGCTCTTATACAGTTATTTCAATGTTATTAAGGTAGTACACCCCTAATGGGCACTATAAGGAATTGTAAATTTGACAACATAGGACAGTTATATGCCTTAAATGTCACCTGTATGCAAAATTTAAACAAAATTTACCGTGTGGTTAATGAGTTACGGACATTTTTATGAACTAAAACTTTGCCATTAGAAGGGATTTTTTCAGACATGAGGAAACTCTAAATAATCTATAATATCATCATTATGAAAAATGTAATCCTTTTGCTCATTGTTAAGAAATAAATATTGACATTTAGGTAACAAATTAAACAAGCAAAATTATTGTTTTTAAACGAAATGTTTTTAATATGTATAAAAATGTAACCCTACCCCACCCACTTTTAACACTAATTTGACCATTTCCCTATATAAAAAGCCTTATTTAAAATATCCCTAAAATTTTCCAAAATGAGGGGCTATTTTCAAAGTTTGCCTAAATTTTCTTTAATGTATATTGGTTGGTCTTGCAAAATATAAATTACTTTTACCGTTTAGTTTTTATTTTATTAAACTTTGAAAATATCTGGTATCATATTTGCTATTAAATTTGGCATTATTTAGTAAATAAATACCTACAATAATTATATAATTAAAATAAAACACTTTTTTCTTCCATAGGGGGTCTGAGAGATTGATAAAAAATGTTAAAAAGAAAAAAAAGAAAGAAAAAAAATGCCTCTTCTGGGGTTTGAACCCACGCCCCCTCAGTTACAATACACTTTACAGTGATTTTAGCCTATTTGAATACTCTTCAGAGTGGAGACAGTGCATTAGGGGTGTACTACCTTAAGCTCATGTTTTCCCTTTATACAAAAGAAATGATTAATTCGTGTCAGAGGCATAATATGCCTTTAATAGATTCACATCTTATATACTTTATTTGTCAAATCATGAAGAAAGATTACCACTCATTTACAGGTTTCAGACTATGATACGGGATATAGACCCGCTTCTTACCAAAGAATCCACGATACAAGCGTTTAAAGCACTGCCGACGGTCAATGTTGTGCTTAATGCCGTCAAAGACGTTGCCGACGGAACAACCGTTGAAGAAATGGGTAAGACCTTTCACAAGCACGACCTCATCCTGCTATATTTTGTAAATGGGTTTCGTCGAATTTACTTTATTTGCAGTGTCAACATGCTGAATTTCTAAAATGACTTATTCAGCTTCAGTTTTATTTTTGCTGTCTATATCAATGTTAGGTTCATGTATTTCAAAAAGAGAAATGAAGGAAAACACAACTTGGTTTGACTGTCTATTGGCGGCAAATTTTCCCAAAATGTCCGAGGATTTGGACCTACCAAATTGTCAAAACTTTAACATAAATTTGCGAAAACTTCAATTAAAAATTTAATGAAGGCATAACTTGTATGGAACTTTTATCTATACTGTATATGTTTTTGATAAATTCCGTTATTTAAAGTGTTATATGAAAACCACAGCCATTCCTGTGAAGTGTTGAGTTTACTCTTCGGTTTGTTTGCTTTTCGTGTTGAATAATGTTTACTTTTATTCCTTGTTTCATAAATTTTGGCCATTTTTAAAGCAACTTAATATCATATCCCTTTTGCAAACATGGGTTAAATCACATTTGCACGGGGTAGATGCCTCATGTTGAGGCACGTTTTTCCGATCTTGTTCCATTTTTTCTTGTAAATATTTTCCCATGAATAGGTCTTTAAGATATAGTTTTAAATTAAAACTTTGCAAAAATTTAATAATCATTGATAGGCTGTTAAGAGTATTAAAAAATTAAAGATTTTGCTAGATCGAAAAAGGCTCCGCAGTTTGAGATAACAAGAATATACACGCATGTACATGTATTGAAGTAATGTACTGTATAATTCCTACAATAATTTACTGAGGAAAGTATTATTTGCGCTGATAGTTAAAAACATTATTTTAAAAATCATTTTTTGATTGCGAAATAATCAGTTACATTCAAATAAAGCAATAGGTTATCGCCTCAAACCTCTGCAATGCTCTGGTAATTCTATATCTTAAATTACGTGAAATGGACACAAAAGACTTGGCCTTGATGCTATTTATATCTGACCTGTTTTTAATTTTGTCTGTTTGTCAAAAGTACATCTTTTATTTTCAAAACAAAATATTTCGAATTTTGTACAAAATGATGATGTTCCCTCTTTGCTTGCAAGTATACAATGTATTAAACTTGCTTTATTATTTTTTCTTCATACTATATCTTTCTTTGCGGTTTCGAAATAGATCTGTTTCAGTATCAGACAATTAACTCTCTGCTTTGTATACTAAAAAGAAAAGATATACATTGTTAAATGTTTCAATAATAAAAAGTTGTGTTAGTCAATAAGTATATTTTAATTCTCATAAAAATTTTGTACATTAATTATTATTTTCGAAATGTTGATTTTAATGTTTTAAAAGTTGTAACATTTGTTTTACATTTATCACTCACTGTACACATTTTGTGATTATTTTAGATATAATTAGTTAAATTTTATAATATTTGTCAAACAAGTACAAGACAATGCATTTTGTTTCAATTGGAAAAAATAAAAGTTTGTTCGGTTCTGTAAAATCGACAAATTGGAAACATTTTTTTTGTCACATAGTTTCTAGTTAAAAAAAATAAATTTAATATCGGTTATTTTGCTCGAATACGAATTTACTTTTAGTTCATTAAATAAAAAATAATGTTTTAGTTATTTGTTCGCAGCATAATAAATTTACTTTTTGTGTTATTTTGTTCGTAGAGATAACTAAACATTTTGCATATTTGTTTGTATATGTAAAGCTAACGTTTTGTTATTTTACTTACAGACAATAAACTTGTTCTCAGGAACATGGTGAGAGACCCGGCTGCTGTGGTCGATATCCTGTCAGATAAATATAACATACTGGAAAGGCGGGTAGCGGAATCTTTACTTGATGCTTCAATAAACCCATTGGCGGTGAGTTCGAATCCTGCATAATAATTAGCTGAGTAACTCAGATATTAGAAAAAATAAAAATGATACTGCTAGTAAAATGACATATTCAAACATTTTAGTAAAAAAAAAATCTTTAAAAAAAGGGGGAAAAAAAGAAAGAGAAAGAAAACGAAAGAAATTAAGAAAGAAATCCTCCTATTTCATCTATGGTTAAAAAATTAACAAAAACATGTTGTTTAGAAATAATACAAAAACATTGCTTTTATTTGTAGATCTACATATATAGGAGTACATGTGTATTCCTGCATATGTTGAACAAAATCTCAACTAAGCACGAATAAGTTACACACTTATTTTGCAATAATGATACCTTAAAATAATTTCGTATTATAATTTCGTATTTACAGTCTCAAGTTTTAAAATTTGATATCGTATTAAGAAACTTAATTTCAACATAATTACATATTACATTGTGTATTTCTTATTGTTAGATGTTCTCAGTTATGTTGGTATGAAAATATTAAGAAGAAAGATAGAAAATAAAACATCACTAAATGAATGATATACAAATAGCCTTTTACATGTAATTGATAGAAAAAATCGTCATACACAGAGGGTTAGCCTGTTGACTTTTTGGGTCGTTGGTTTGAAATCCTTAATACATGACTACAATATTTAATCTGTCCGACTAAATACGTAATGGCTCTACCTTAATAATTTCTTGTCTTGAAATGAGCATGGATGCGATCTGAAGCCTCCGGATTTGTATGCATTTGGTGTCGGAAAAGGCCGAAAAGTTGCATATTATTCGTAATGAAAACAGTTTCCAGAATAATTGCACCCATGACATCCTCTTTCCCGTCTGAAAATGACTAAAATATTATAGAAAAGCTGCGTCAGAATTAATCAAATCATAGATTCTTACGAGGTTTATAGCAACAAATGAACACATTTAATAACGACATTGAATTACGTTATAAGTCGTTTGCCGTACACTCTGATCAAGGTATTATTGATTTTGTCATCAACTAATTAGAATCACAACACCTGAAAAACAGTAGATATGAGAATTAACGTACAAGGAAGTATTGCTACAGTGAACGAACGGCTTTTATCCAGGAAATTAAAGCTATTTCAGAGTGAAAAGGTATAAATGAATGAATATATATAGAAAGACAATTCCATTTTACAGAAAATGAATGTAAAATATAGATTTAGAGTCATACATGTACAATTATTTTCAACAAGACGCTGCATTGTCGTTATACAAAGCAGAATATGATAAATCTATGACCATATGCGCCAGGTACCAAGCTTAGTCAACATATGGCCGTCTTTATACATGTTTGTTTGCTATGTTTCCGCACACTTTGCCTATTGCCCACAATCGTATTTTGTATAGTACCGAGAAATTGCGATCGCGATTGTTACATGTGGGCAATGTTTAAGTGTCCCTAATAGTCCCCTCCCTTGCTTTCCTCTATGTATCCATTGCTGGAAATAGTTAGTCTGTAAGTAGCATTAAAATTAATAACAGAATATAAATTATGTTTGTTCTTAGTGACCTTAATAATTTTTTTTATTTCATTTGTCTTTATTTTCAGTTGGTCAGTTCAATAGGATCTGTAGATTTTAAAGGTATCGTCTGCGACCCGGACGAATTGGAGAAGTATATAATATTGTCAGATAAAAGTAACAGATACGTTGTCAACAAATATTCCGTATCTAACAGCCTGTGTCGTATAGAGGAGGATAAAATATCGGATATCACGAACGACCTGATACGTCAACTTGACGTCGCTAACATCATTCGGCTGGTAAAGCAATCTTATCTAATCTAAAGAAACTAACTTAATTTTTATTATTTCATACATTGTACATGTTTTTATTTTCATTCTAAAAAGTGAAGTTTTCACTTTAAATATCTTTTATTCTTTTTTCTCATTACCTGAATATATTTGATATGCCATAAATAATAAAAGTGCAAAATGAAAAGTTACCGTTAAGACGAAAGTATTTTAAGGTATGAATTATTACTCCGTATATATGACATGAATTATTGGCGACGCCGTTGTTTTGGCCTATGGAAGGAGCTGTTATTATTAGCAGTTAATTTCATGTTGTGTTAATTATATTTATTTTGATTCGTAAAAATCAAGTAAACAAATATGTTGTTATATTTGTATTTAATAACTTTATATAAAAAGCATGTGCATTGTGATATTATTTTCACGAAATTGCAGGCTCAGATTAACAGCTTGTCCCTTTGTTTTATTGACAATACTAAAACCCGGATTTCGAATATCGTTGTGGTCTACATTGATGCTCATTCATTTATATATTTTCAAAACTTTCCTACAAGAAGAAAGTTCACCTGCAAATGAGTATTAGGATAGGTAATGGACTGTTGTAAACGATTATCCTATTGATTTTATCCATATTACGTTTATCTGTTGAACAGAATGGTTGTTTTTACAAAGTGTACCAGTATCCGGATGTTGACAGCTATCCGATTTTCTGCAATTACTGCTGTCACATGGCCATCTACTTTTTTATGAATACTTTACCATTAATTTGCATGGCATAATTAAAATGAGCCTGCAACATTTATTTATTTTGATGTTTAGGGTGTTCTTTTGGGTTTCATGTTTTCTTTATTTCAAGGGGAAGTAACTCATGTTTACTAAATTATTTGTTCTTTTCTGTCTATCTTAGGTATTACTTACATTTTTTGTTTTATGAAATTTACCAGTTGTAAGGTCATCAAAAGCATAGAGGCCCTGATGAGTGAATATTGATATATATATATACTTTTACTGGCTTTATATACCCAATATTTCATATTTATTTAATACAAACTTGGAATTATTAATGTTATGTGCATACATTTATATCTTAGTATATTGGTATGATGAGACTTATAATATTTCTGAATTTAAAGAGTTGCAGTTATGTCATTATTATTAAAGTGATGAGACTTTCATTTAAAGTTATAAATGATAATACATGTATTGATTGAAAATGTCCTGAAACTTGGATCAAGCAATATAATTGATAAAGCCTCAAAAAATCATGTTCTGAAAAGTTATTCTAATTTTTTTCTAACATGTGCATAGTTTGAAAAGGACAGCTTCTGCCTTATCTATTTGTAATGGAGGGATACCGGTCTCAATCTCCAGGTCTCCTGAGTCAACCCGACAACAGACTTTTCATAGAGTAGATTGATACTTGTCCTTGAATAAATTTGTACACTTTTTATAGTGGGTGATTTGTGGGGCCTGTCTAAAGCGCGGACGCCTTAAGCGGACAATATAAACATATAGGGAAAACGCTGACAATATAGACAAAAGAGGAAAAAAGCGGACGATATAGATATATAGTGTAGACTAATTTGTGATGATTTTGGGCATTGATGAAGTTTATAAAAATGACGTGTTATTGGATTTATACTTTAATATATAAAAAAATATAATAAATTAGCAAATTGGGAGAAATATTAAAGTAATTTATGATTGAATGTCAATGAATTTTATTTTATATTTATATGACACATTTTCGGAATTTCTTAATATTGAAAACTAATATATGAAACAAATGGATCAAATGAATGTCCTTAGAATTACAATGAAGGTACTAAATTGGCAACAGCTGATATGTAATTAAGGATATGTATTTCATTTTGGCATTTTTTGTATGCCTTTATGTGCAGTAGGCGGACAAAATTTTTGTTCGCAAAATAAAAAAAGCCTTGATTTTTCAAAATCAAAAGTTTGTAAGAGTAATTTTTAATCATAAATTATTGATATAAATAAGTAATGACGGGCTGTTGTTTTTTATTGATACAATATGAGCAGAAGCGTGCTGCAAATTAACGGTAATTATATAAGTGTGAACAACACGCTACTGATTAATCGTGTCGGCACTTAGCTAGAGATAACATGATACGCATTTTGCGGACAATATAGATATATAGGGAAAACGCTGACGATATAGATATAGAGGAAAAAAGCGGACGATATAGATATAGAGGAAAAAAGCGGGCGCTATAGATAGAGTGTAGAATGATGTGTGAGATAAAGTTATAATAAAATAGATAATGATAATGTATAGTAATATTGTGAAGTAATAAAAACGAAGATAAAGAATGAACATCATTGCAATTTTATTTAAGCAATATAACACATTCGGTACATGAATTTATTTTACACATACAAATAATGATATCAATGTAACAACTCAATATATGTATATAGCTATAAAGAATATAACAATCACATATTTTAACAAAATCCCTTACTTAAGACAACAATATTAAATAGACAATGTATTAAACGTTTATAGGAAAAACGATGGCAATATATACAAAGCGGAAAAAATGCTGTCCAAAAATATATTACATTTAATTTATAATAAGTATTGTTTTAAAATTATAACTTTAATTAAATTAATAATTTTTTTAATTAAAAATTATATAATCAAAAATTGTATGTTTTCAGACTGCAAATAACATTGATCTTAAAGTGAATTTTATTAAATGTAAAGTATATTACATGTATAAAACAGTTCGTTTTTCCTTTAAGAACATAAACCACAATCAAAGTCATTATCAATGGACGACACATCAATGGGGGCATTAATACAATTTTTATGGAACCATTTATTACATTTATCACATAAAACCATATCATCAAGGCATTCAGGTAAATTACATAGACAATAATTATAAATATTAATAATTGTATCACTATAGTGTTTCCTTTTACTTAAAGTTTTCTTAGTTAATGGAAATTCCGTCATTTCTTTTCGTTCAAAACAATTTAACAAATGTTCACGGATTTTATTGGAATCGTATATAAGATCTGTACAAAGACGTTTACGTAAACAAAAAGAAGTAATAAAAGCAATTGCATATAATAGGCCACAATCTACACTATTATTTTGTTTGATAACATTTGGTACATTAACTGCTATTGATGATTTATTTGATCCATAAAGCTGGGATAATTGAATTTTCAAGCCGTTTGGTATTATTCTGTCATTTGGTCTATCATTGCCTAAACTGTCCATTAAATGAATTTGATTATCTATATTAAACGATGCTACCCAGTGGTCATGGTGATTGTGGTGTATTTGGCAGGCCGGTGACTGTGCAGGTTCGAGTGGAAATTTACAACACCATCTTTTTTTCTAGTTCATTAAAAGCGGGCACTTTCTCGGTTAGCTGCAACCCACCTATTTTCGCCCATAGTTTGTTGTCGCAACATTATATTTACAGCCTCCATATGGTTTGAATTAAGTTTCTTATTATTTTTTAAGTCAATTATGTCATTTTCCGTGAGGCCCAAATCTCTGTCCCAGTATTCAATATGCTGTTCTATTGATTCGGTGCTATTGTCTCTTATTTCATAATTGTTAATTTCACTTTCTTCTTTGATTACAGATAAATCGTTTTCCAACTTTGGTAATTTATAGCTCAGTTCATCGGTACACTCTATTTTACGTTTATTTAATTTTTTGCCTGTTGGTGTGTTGTCTAATTTTGGAGTTGAAATATCAAATTTTAAGTTTTTTCGTATTGCACTGTTTTTGGGTGTCATAATTTTGCTTTTTGGAGTCGCATTTACTTTTTCACAAGTGTTTTTTAGAACAGAGTCTGGCGCGGGATTAATTTCAATGTCGGCATCATTGTCTCCAAATCTTCCTTTTTTTGTACCACACTTTTTGGAATGTTTTGGTCTACAGTTTTTGCGTAATTGTGTTAAGTTAAACACTTTTTTATCGTCCGGAATAGGCATTCCGATTGCTATCATTGCAGCAAGAATATGATAACATCTTGAAGTTGCTGGACATGAACACGACTCCTTAGGAAAAAGTGTCTGTAAAAAGTAGCACTGAATTCATAAAGAATTACAAACTTTATTACAAATTATTAGTTTAGAAAATTCAAACTGGGTAAGTTATAAAGATATAAGTGATTATAAAGACTTGTGAAAAAAGATTAAAAAGTCTTTTCATTATTTACAGGTAATGTGCGATTAATGACTTAATTTTCAATTCTTCTCGCCATTTGCTGATATTAAATTATATTTACAGACAATAACAGAAGCAGTACTTGGTTTATAATTACCACTAGACGGAAATAAAGAATTCAAGTTTCTTTCTTTGAGTTTTAATCTTCTACCTTTCTTACATACAACTATTGTTATATACAATTTTCCTATTCTCCCGTTCTATACATTTATTCCGTCAGCGTTTTCCTTCTATATCTATATCGTCCACTTTTTCACTATATGTCTATATTGTCCGCATTTTCTGTAGCCACTTTATTAATTGTACAAGGGTGAGATGTATGATTAATTGAAATATACAAGTGTCGGTGCGTGATTAAGTCAAATACACAGGTGACACGTGGATACTTTAATTAGTTGATTGGTATTTATATCAGAAAGTTTCTTTTATTAACTTAATGGATAAAATATAAATAAAACATAAAAATATTATGAATTAAAGAAAGTTAATTGATATAAATTAATTATATACATTGTAGAAGCCAGATGTTTTTTTATTCATAACAGTTTTCTATTCTCCCGTTCTATACATTTATTCCGTCAGCGTTTTCCTTCTATATCTATATCGTCCGCTTTTTCACTATATGTCTATATTGTCCGCATTTTCTGTAGCCACTTCATTAATTGTACAAGGGTGAGATGTATGATTACTTGAAATATACAAGTGTCGGTGCGTGATTAAGTCAAATACACAGGTGACACGTGGATACTTTAATTAGTTGATTGGTATTTATATCAGAAAGTTTCTT